TCTCTCTCTCTCTCTCTCTCTCTCTCTCTCTCTCTCTCTCTCTCTCTCTGTGTGTGTGTGTGTGTGTGTGTGTGTGTGTCTCTCTCTCTCTGTCGCTCTCTCTCTGTATATATATATATATATGACAACAATATATATATATGACAACAATATATATAGGGTTCAGCCTCCTGATGAGTCGGTGAAACTCCGACGAAACAGTTTGTCACAGCCCCTCGTTTGTTGTCCTCTTCTCTCTCTCTGCCTAGCAGTTCTGTTTGTGACGATATATATATGACAACAATATATATATGTATATGACTGTGTGTGTGTCATCCTGTTTCCTATGCACAACTTCACGAAAAAAAGGACTGTGCCAGAGTGTTTCGTTGGACTTTCACCGACTCGTCAGGAGGTTGAACCTGGACAGACAGTCTGCCCAGGATGCATTTGACTGATGGATAAGAACTCACCACATTGCCCATACCCGGAGTTAGCGATAAACTGAGAAAAGCAGTCGCCTTTATTCACACCAACCCTGCAATTCAGACCGTAGTTCGAAACCCCTAACAAGAACGGCAACGAGTCTGAGAAACTGGTCCATCACAACCATCAAAACCCACTCTACACACGCACTCAGCCACATATATCGATTCCACTGGTGTGTGCGTGTGTGTGTGATGTTAAAAACTGCTGCAGTGTTCCAATGCGTGTCTGTTTGTGTGTGTGTGTCCAAGGTGTTCGCTGCACCAGCTGAGCAGTGTTACACACGAGCACGCAAAACAAACAAGCAATTGCCCATAGCCAGTTCCAAAATACTGTCGTTTTAGAAACCACCCAGAATGCAGAACTTTGGTACACAAAAAGCACAAGGATTGTGATAGACTGCCAGTGTTTTTTGCCGACTTTCACAGACTCATTGGGGGATGAACACTCAGCACTCTGCAGGATCCCCATATTGATGCTTTGAGTCATAGTCTAGTTTGACCCCTGTTCACTAATGGTTAATAGGTGGTGTCATTTTCGGCGAACTTTTCACCGAAACTGCCATATTTCCCATAGTTTTTGCGTTAATATGAGCCTGTATTGTTTGTTCGTGGAAGTTTCGGCGACAGTGCTTGTGATGATGCGGAGCAAACCCCCGAATTTTGGGCCATCCACTAACCAT